ATAAATAGCAAGGGTTTTGAGGTTGACAGGCTCTCTGGGTAGTCCGTTTCGATTCCGGCTTTTTATACCAATCTTCTGTTCCGATTTCCGTAACACTGCTGTTAATTAGCAATAGATACCTGCACATCGATGTTCTTTAGCTCGATTTTCGTGCCGTGGTTTTAATTCGTGCTGGTTTTCGGATTTTCATGCTGTGTTTCACGATTTTCGCAACTATCTAGCTCGGATATTCCGAGGGTCAAAAGAGTATTATGAAAATTTCAGATGAATGAGACAGAACTCTACCCAGACTACGATGACCTCTGTTTTGTTGGAAGTAGTGATCGAAGATTCTACATGGCCCTTGCTGGCACTATCCTCTCGTTCATTTCCCTCTTTTGCAACTTGCTCATCGCCAAGGTATGTGATCTGGCATGGCTTATCCCAGCTAGCTCCTGCTAACCCGTCCATTTCAGGTACTGTACAGCTCGAAACATGCGCATTTCTTCTTCTTAGCGTTGCTAGCCGTCAGTGACTGTTTCCTGTCGTTCATGTACGGTCCAGTAATCGCTATGGATATCATCAAGGATAAAGTGCAGGTTCATCTGACAGCTATTGTGCCTTCTATTCGTCATCGCACGTCAAATAGTCAATGCACTTGTTCAATTGACGATGCATTTCTCGCATGAGGAAGGAAAGGGTGTCGAAAAACGTGGCCCGTTAGTCGTCAAGTGGCCGCGTTAAGCATCGTTCTGAAATATTGACAAGTTGGAATGTGCAACGCTTAATTCGATAGATAAAAAGATCACCTTTGTCAGGAAGAGACTACTTCCTAGGGAAAACATTTTTCTTTCAGATACTTTGGCTGACTCAACTCTACTGGTGGTACGTTGGACCTCTGCTGGCGCTCTGTCAGGTCAGTTTACTGTAAAATTTGTGACGTGCTAGTTCATAGGCGCACAGCAGGGCACGTCCGAGTTCTTCCAAAATACGAACCACCTTCTCCATTCCCCATCCTATCCAATGCTTCCTGGATTTTGCCAGCTCCCATTTTTAGGAAGAATTTCTCCAAAAATCAATCCACTCTTCCCGAAAACCGAATAACTGCTGCCGAACCGGAGGAGGGAAGGGCACCAGAGCGCACTTGAAACCAGAAAAAAACCGAGAAAAATCAAAAATCAAAAATACTTTTTGTCAGGGCAAATGCACACCCCCTCGCCCCCGCTTTCTCGTGTTTTCCTTTGTACGAGTGATTTGGTTCCGGAGGCACAGACATTTGGATACAACAGGTTTTTCTTCTCATTGGACGGCCGGAAAAGAATTCCGCGGAAGTCTTGGAGGGAAGTCGTTACGGGGTGTCGGTCCAAACCTCTGAACATACAGGAAATTCATCCCACAAGCTTATTTCCAAACAAAAGTCCTCATTCCGTACACACAATCCTTTCGGTGCTCATCTAGTGGGAGGGAGGGGGGGGGGAGAAGGAGTACTCAGCAGCGCTTCTGTTCCTTTCTCCTAACCAAGACTACACTGTTAGACATAAAACGCTGACGACAAGAATATACGAGGGGTTGCCTCGTGGAGAAGACAGGTGCTGTTCGGCTAGGAGGGCACATTGCGCTTCCGCAGGTTTGTTGGTTCATGTGAACTAACAAGTCTTACTCTTGCCAAACCTGTAAACTTCTGCGAAATTGCTTGAGTGAGCCGCTCTGGTTCCAGAAGGTTGACGTTTTCTATAAGCAAGATGTACAACCTTACCTGAGCACCATTTAATGGCCCCTCTAAGCCGAACTGCGCCGAGAAGGCATAGTCACTCCTAAGCCTTAGCATGGTTAGGTGCAGGGACGCAGAGGCGCTGCTGAACATCAGGCAAGTTGGGGCTTCATTTCCTCGCACCTTCCTTCAGCGCTAAATGCGGAACAATAAAAAAGGATCGAAGAAATGGCGTTAAAATGAAGCTCGTGGCAATTCCCAATTCTGAGAAGCTACTTGTGCGAAATGGGGTTACCGTAATCTCATCAACCATTGCACCGAAATGTGTTCCTACACCGGGCTATCGCTGTTTCCGCTTTGGTCGCTCACCTACCGGAGAGCGTGGGATCAGGCTTTGACTCCTGGTTTCAGTCCATAACCTTTTTGCTGTGGCCGATCAATCCCCATGCATTTTACCCATGTCTCAGCAAATTTCTGCTAATCAACGTTTCTTTGAGGCGATTTTTTCCCCGAGAATATTTTCCCATTCAAGGTCTCGATGACGTTTTCGTGCTACCTGATTATCCTGGCCACTATCGAACGTTACCTCATCACTCAACGATCGGATTGCCTCAAACGATTTCGACGAAGTCGTGGCCTTATGGCACTCTTCATGTTCTTACTATCTCTTCTGCTCAGAGGCACACTTGTCTTTGAAATTCAGGTGAAATGATTTTAACTGATTTTTTGAGCTTATTAGAAGCAGATGTACTGCACTCAAGAATCGTGGCCCATGATATGCGTCACACCTCTAACAGAATTCAAAAAATGACCGATCAGCTCAGGTTCTGGCCCGATCCCTGCAGGTGCTGTTCGGCTAGGAGGGGGCAATGTTGCAGGGATCAGAGCCAGAACTCCATCCGCATCTACTTAGTGGTGCTCCAATAATCCAATATCATCTGGGGCTTAAGAACGGTTCACCGCGGGCTAGCACCGTCCACTGAGGGAGTTGATTTTGAAAGCTCAAAATCCAGTACACGACATCGTTTGAAGGATGCATTTAGGGTGTTCGTCCTCGATCCTTAGCGAGTGCCATTGGTGACGACCCTCTCCTCTACTGCAGTATTTGGAGGAGAAAATACAAAAGTTTTTGGTAAAAAAGAAGAAAGTAGAGGATCGGGGAAGGTCATAGTACCAGTGGAAGACAGTGGGTGGGAGAATTGTTCCGAGACGCCGTTTCACACATGCAGTCCTTTATCCTGTGTAAATATCTTTCCTCTAACAGAGCAAGATTTCTTTTTGTTTAGAGCTATTCAACAATCACACCGCCAAAACGTCGGGAACGTTTTGCTGAGCGGGAGGGGGGCTTCCAGTGGATCTCTGGAACCCATATCCCCACTATGGCATTTATTTTGACACTGCTCATCCTTTAATAGCCCCTTTTATGAAACTCAGTTCAGATTTTGAGTGAAATTTCCCCCTGGATAAACTTTCCCAACGTTCTGCCTTTGGAGGTAGTTGGACTCTTAATTACTAGCACTAGGTGCCGATATCGTGCTTGCATTAAGTGAAAATACCTGACCTGCTCGTCACAGAGGCGCATGTGGCGCAGGTACCAAGCGTTTTCGCACCAAAAGGAAGTGATGGTCTTGTTCTAGCAGTCTAGTTAGCCTTTTTAGCCAACTTCTCAGTACACTTGATGATCTGTGTTGTTTTCGCGCCGAGAGGACGATAGTCGTGTCTAGCGTACGGTAGAAACTACATTTCTGGGTTAAATTTGTAGCCAACTGCCTCGGGAAAACACGAGGTATATCGTGAAGTTTGCTGATAGCTTGGAAGTGGAAGTTATTTTTGTAAATAAGAGCCTACGGTAACTCTCAATGAGAATTCATAACAATTTTGCTGAAAAGAGTCGTGCGATGTCGCCTTGTCGAACTCAAATGCCACGTAACGCCTAGGGGCAAATTTCAAAGGTGTTAGCCGTGATAGCGCTCCTTGTAATTCTCCCTTGCAGCTCTTCAAAATTGCTTAAAAATTTCACTCACTGAAATATTTTGGACTGTCCTTGAACGTTTCTAAAAGTGCATGGTGAGCATGTCGTCATCTGCTAGGCTGTTCGTGCTCGCAGAGGCTTCAATAGTGTGAAAAACAAAATCAAAATGCACTTAAACGATTTCGGCAAGATAATAGTGTAAAAGGAAAACGAATCAACGTCTGACTCAGTCCCTTGTTAGTCTTAAAGGGCTAGTCAATGGCATCATGCG